AACACACATCATCACTTATGTAGGAATGACTTAAGTCACTTGGAATAATGCTGGAATAGTTGCACATTAGCTCCATTTATGGAAGATAAGGTAGAAAACAGTGAGAGTTCTGTAGCTCTTACTTACCTGCATAATGAACATTAGTGTAAGTGAAGAGTCTCAAGGTATAGAGAGCTGGAAATGTGGCTGAGGCAGTGTCGTTCCAGCTCTCTGGGCTCAGTGCTGGCCCTGATACCTGTAAATTTGAGCACAGGAGATATTTCCAGTGCCATGGCACTGTGTCCTGGAAGCTTGGTGGGGCAGAGGAGCTTGGTGGGGTGGCACTGCCTTACAGAATGCTGTGTGAGTACCTTTCCATGCCTGCAGCTCAGGAATCAAGCTCTCCTGGGCTTTCCTTCTGAGGCAAAAGGAGAATCAGACTAGTAAGACTTTGCTGATGGTGAGTCTTTGTGTGTTAGGCTCATAGGAATATTTGGGCTGGCGGGTTGCTCATCGCAGTCTGCTGTGCCTCTTGTCCAGTTCTGTGGGTGAGAGACAGTGCTCAGGAGAGTGGTGTTGGCACTGGGTGGAAGTGCTTGGGTTTGAATCTAGTCAGAGATAGTTTTGGTGTTTGACAAATTTATGGTCAATATAAATGTATTGGTGTATATGGATTAGGGTTGAGGGGTTGCAGCAGTGACAGGTTAAGGGTTGGACTCGATGGTCTCAGAGGTTCCTCCAGCCTTGATGGTTCTGTGATAATAATGTTGTTGGTGCAGGTTCTTCCATGCATGGTCAAGCTGTAAGTGGCTTTGAGTCTCTTCTAAAACACTTAGTGTGCTTTATATGTACTTGCATGACTTGAAGGCCACGGTCAGAGAAGCAGGGGGATGAGGAGGAATAGCTGGAGCTCAGATATGCCACAATCTCCATCATTTGAAGTATCAGACCCAAGAGGTTATTTAAATACTGCTGTGAAATTACTCTGCTGAAAGAGCTGAGATTCCTGCATGCTTTATCTAGGGTATTGTAGTTCCGAGGACACCGAGTACTTTGCTTTTAAAAGCTCTGGAATCATTTTTCGTGCAGTGCGTCATCGAGGCAGGAGGTAAGAATAGCTGTGAATTGGCAGTGTTCTGTGTTCAAATCCTCCCAGGTGCTCTCGGGTGTCATGTGCAGCACTGGGATAAAAACACTCCATTTGCTCTCTTGTATTGTTGCTCTCTCCTCCTTTGTTCTGCCTCAGCTTGGTGTTTGAGGGGCCAGGCATTGCCTGGGGGTGGTGGAGCAGCGTTATTCCAGCTCTGCAGGTTGCTGCAGGGAGCATAGCAACCTGTGATCCTGCATCTCCTGCATCTCTTTCTGTTCCTGTGTTCCTGCATCTCCTTCTGGTGCCTGTGGGACCCTTGGCCTCCATGCCTTCCTTCAGACCTGTCAGGAAGAGTGGTGGTGTTCACAGGCCAGCAGGGACAGGCTCTCCGTGTGAAGGGAGACAGAACATGAGCACATCACAGCAGATCCTCAGGGAGAAGAGTCCAGTTTGGAGAGGCACTGGGCTATTGCCCAGGGAGGTGGTGCAGTCACCATCCCTGGAGGTGTTTCAGAGGTGTCTGATGTGGCACTGCAGGATCTGGGTTAGGGTTTAGGGGTTCCAGCAGTGACAGGTTAGTGGCTGGACTGGATGATCTCAGAGGTCTCTAAAAAGACATGAAGAGTTCCAGGAATGTTGCAGGCTAATTTGGATGTTGGACAGAAGTGTTTGAAGCAAGCTAGAGCAATAAAAACCCAGAGCTCTTTTGCAGTGTTGTTTGGTTATCCCCTCAACAGGTGGTTCAAACCTGAAAATTTTACTTGCATGAACTAGTAGCAAGAGACTCAAATAACTTGATTTTTGCCACTCAGTGCCCAAATGCAAGTCATATTTGCATAAACTGGTGTCCAGTTTGCAATGTTCAGCTGTTGTCATTTGAGGTTCCACCTGATAAAGTCTGATTAAAACCAGTAATGGATGTGAGGAGTTTTCTGTAGTTTTGTTGTCAAAGGGTAATAATGGAGAAATAAAGCAGTCCTAGAGTCACTTCACTCCCACGTATCCTTAGTGACTCTGGTGGTCTGTGCAAGACTGTGACCTTCCCAGTGCTGGAGAAATGAACACCCATTCCTATCTGTGTTGCTGATCCTTATAGCTATCTGCAAAAATGCAGAGACCTTTATGAAACTCTGCATTCCCTGCAGCATGGGCAGTTTTTCCCTGTGTATGAGTCTTAGAAAGTTTAGTTATCCAACAAAACCGTTTTAATAGTTTCTTGTATATACATGTATTCATATATTCACACCACAGATGTACTTTGCACATCTCTTGGGTGCAGTCCTCAGTGCTGGGTCCTGCAGGTGACTGTCAGAAGTGGCAGAGATGAAGCTGAGTCCCTCTGGCAGGGACAGACCATTTGGTCCTTGCTGCTGTCTGAGCCACTGGTGACTCCTGTGCTATGGAGTGTTGTGGCTCCAGCGTTGGTTAACAGAAAGGACTTTCTCTGCCCCAGAGGTGACAGAGAGATGTCTGTGCTGTCTTTGTGCCCACACAGGGATGTGCTGTAGCTCTGCACTGACGTCGATCTGTGAGAGTTTCTCAAGCCTTGGGCCATTTCAGATGCTGAGTCTCTGCAGAGCTTTGCAGACAGACAGACACTGTCCAGCTAGGACTGTCTTCTCAGTGCTCCTCCCTAAACATCAGCCATGACCTACAGCATTCCTACTGGGAAGATCCTTTTGTGTATTTAATCAGTCTGGCACACACTCTAGCCCCACTGGGAAGAAGAGACCCAGACAGCTTCTCTCGAGATGTGTTGCTGTAGACAATCAGGTAGAGGAGCTTAATTAAGAACATGATTATTTTTTTTCCAGCTGGTAGACTTTGATGCAGAAAATTGTAAGCTGTTTGCATCTTAAATGTTTAATCACTGCTGTTCTAATTAGATGTTTGTATTTCAGCATCATAACTGGGAGTGATGAGAACGAAGAAGTATACAGTACTGAAGACTGTGAGTTTGCAGCCAAGAAAAGGAAAAAGGATCACTGTAGGGATAGCACGGACTCACAGTGTAAGGATGTCTCACTTGCTTTACACTCCTGCACGCTGTGACAGTCACTCATTTGTACCTGCCTCAGAGCAGCCTTCCCTCACGTTCCCTTCTGTCCTGCCAACACCTTCTGGTGTCAGAGCAACACGTCTCGAGTGAGCCGTGCTCTCTGTTGTGTGCTGGTTTTTTTCCCCAGAGGTAACTCCTTGATGAATAGTAATTGCTGAGTAATGAATGTCTTCTGATGCCAAGCACTGTTAGGTGTTGTGGACTAGTTTTGAATTAAGTTCTTCTGGATGCTCAGGAGAACTTCTGCTTCCCAAAGCAGCTGTTTATTTTTGCTGAGTTCAAATTCTGATCAGTCATAGAACTCCAGAGTCAGTTCATGGATAACTGTATTTTGTCATCATACCTATATCTCTTGATGAAGACTTTATCAGTGCTGAAATTCTTGAAGAAAAGACCCTTTAAAAATACTAAAATCTGAAAGCCATTTTGCCAGTTCTCATCTGTAAGATCACTTGTGCTTTGGACTGCAGATGTGTATGGCAGCAGCTGCCTTCCTGAAGCAGTGAATTTGGTACAGTAGGTAAGAAAAGGAAAGCTGCTTAGCAGCTTTTGGCATTTCTGATGCTGTGACCTCGAGATGATCACCATGACCTGCCCATTGCAGCGCTGCTGCTGCAGAGATGGTCGTTTCTGATGCTGTGACCTCGAGATGAGCACCATGACCTGCCCGTTGCAGCGCTGCTGCTGCAGAGATGGTGCTGCAGGGAGCTGCAGGCTCCCCAGCCTGTCTGGGCTCACAGGTTGAAGGCTCAGGTGGCTGAGTGTCTCACTTGGCGACACGCAGCACTTTGGGAGCTGCAGGTCTGCCCAGCTGCCTGTGGGAGTGTGGTGGGTCTGAGTTCCCTGCAGCAGTCTGCAGTTTGACCCCATCAGTGTGGAACGGGCCCCTGTACAGGAGGGGATGGATTAGAGGGGTCAGGAATGCAAAGGTTACCTATTTCTGCTGTACTTCTAAATGCTGAGGAGCCAGTTGTGTCAAAAAGTGTGATTTGCCCAATGTGTGCCAACTCTTTTGGTTTTAGAAAATATTATATAACTTTTCCATTGTTTTCTTGAAGTACAGAACTTGTGAACATTTTAGTCATCTTTGCTGCCTTTATAAACTCCCTTCATTAGAACTGGTCTTTCCTTTCTCCAACCCTATGAAGCATCTTATTGACCATGGAATGTTCAGTTCCTTTCTAGAAGGCACAATGGATGTGGAAGCCTAAAATGCTGATATGCTGACTTTTTTCTGTTTCAGGTTTTTATCGTGAGAAGTGGATTTATGTTCATAAAGAAAGCACCAGGGAAGTAAGTCTGCATGCTCTGAGTCAGTTCCTGCAATCTTTGGGCATCCTGACTGGCAGAGAGCACAGTGAAAAAAGCACTTGTGCCCTGCACTCTTAGGGGTTGTATTTTGCTCTTCCTGGCACGCAGAGCACACCTGCTCGTGGTGGGGCAGAGGCATGGGTCCATGGGTCACTGTGGCAGAGGTGAGGGAACTGGCAAGATGCACATACAGTTCTCCACTGCTTCTCCAAGCCCATCTGTCTCTGTACTGTCTGACTTCAGCTTCAGCCCAAACTGAGTGTGTTTGCAGAGGCAGAGAAGTGCCTGAAAAGAAGGTGCCTAAACTTCTTAGCACCAGGAAATAAATTCTAGATGTTGAGACCATTTGTTCTTCCAGTGCAAGGAGCAGCTGGCTGTGTTCTTGCCCTCAGGTGTGACTCAGCTCATTCTCATGGTTGTGGGCTCTGCTGTGCGAGGAAGCTCCTGGTGCTGAGGCCTGTGGGGAGTGGCAGAGCCAGGACTGGCCATGCAGGAGTGAGAAGGCTCCCAGGGCACTCGCAGGCAGTGGCTCCAGGCTGCCCCAGCAGTGTGGGCTGAAAGGCCTTGCTGCAGAGCCATATTGCCTGTGTACCTGGAGGTTCCAAACAGCAGGTCTGACTCCATCTGTTCTACGGCACATTAACGCTTGAGTCTAGGTCCATTCTTATTCCATGGAATACCTGACACTGGCTGTGTGTCGGGATGTTTTTCTGAGTGTTCTGCTCAATTTTCTGTCTTTGCGTTCAAAGTGTGTTTGTTCCCCTTGTCAGAGACATGGCTACTGCACCTTGGGAGAAGCTTTTAACCGCCTGGACTTCTCCAGTGCCATTCAGGACATCAGGAGGTTCAACTACGTGGTCAAGGTAAGCTCCTGATCCCATGTGCACGTTACAAAATGCATCTGTTCGTGTGCCCACGGGTGCCAGCAAATCACTGTGCACTGAAGAGCTGATGGTTGGTGACTGTAAATCCCCTGTCTGTCTGTATCTTACGCTGTGCAAAGCCACTTCAAACGGAGTCGTGTTCCGTCGGTGCAAACTCCTGGTGCTGTTTGGAGGCTGTTTGTGAGGAGGAGGGTGATGGCCAGTGTGCTGTGTGCTTAGAGAGGAGCACTGATGGTGGTTCCAGCTGTTGTTCCTCAGTCTGAGGTAGTGAACTGAGGCAAAATAACTTCTGTGCAACCAGAAATAGCAAAGTAGGATTCATCTTAAATATACTTTGCTGCACCTTAAATAGGCTTAAAATAGCTATTTCCAGAAGAGTATTTGATGTGTAAATGTTCTGCAGTTTCTGTTTCTTCTACAGCTTCTTAACATTCCTGTGATTCCTGGCACACTTTCTTTTAAGTCTAGGACAAGATATCTCTGCATTTATCTCTGTTGACATCGTTAAAACTGGAGACTTCACCCTTAAGTTCCTCTGTGCCTAACCAGCTGCCCACCTGAAAATACCTGTTCTGTGACATTCTGATCTTTTTCTAGCTCTGGGGTTTTTCTTGTCGTCTAACCTGAGGGAGTAAAGTGCTTGTCCCAGCTCCTAGAGGAGCTCAAGATGTGAGTCATATCGGACCTAGAGTTCAGCTCAGCGGTGAGGCTGTTCACAAATAATGTAGTGCTTGGAATGCATCCAGGGCTTGGAAAGACACAAATTGAGATTGAATAAACACACCAGGAGAACACCCTTACCACCAGGACGTGGAGTGTTTGCAGAGACAACACGCCCTGTCCATCCTTGTTGAGGCTGAGGCAGTGTGCTATACTCCCAGAAAAACACAAAGGCTTTGCCACCAGGCTCGTGGTCAGGGCACTTGCCTGGTGTGCTCCCCTTGCAGTTTTCTTCTGGTATGTGTGTGTGTTGTGGTTTGGGACAGCACTTTGCAATGCTGTTTTGGGAGCAGAATCAAGAACCTTGGCCTTTCCCAAGGCTTTTCAGCCTGAACAGTAGGGAGAAGCAAGAAAAGCACCTAAGAAGATGATTTGTGTTACAAATGGTGTCAGCCTCGAGTGCCTCCCTTGAATGGGAAACAGGTGGAGTGAATGCAGACCTGGAATTGTACGTGTGGTTTAGGTGCTGCAGTGCCTATGCTGAGCTGCTTGGAACAGCTGATCAGAACCAAGTGCAGAGTCTGAGCACACTGACCAGTTTGTCTCCAGTTCACCAAAGAGTACAAGATGCTGGGTCAGCCAGCCAGGACTGAGCTCGTGAGAAAGGAGCAGCACTTCAAAACTCAGAACCTTGGCAATCCAAACCATTATTCTGCCGACAGCAGGCCCTAAGAAATCTGAAATCTAAAATTCCAGGCACACTTTCAAAGTCCTTTTAACGTTTTAGAACTTACCTGAAATATCTAGAATTGTCTTACAAGTACAAAAATGTGATACCTTTGCATCAGTTCCTCTGAGGTGATGGAGGCAAACTGACTTCTATCAGCAGGTGCAGAAGACCTTGAAAGTCGCTGAGCTGCTAATGAATATGATGGATATGAGTGACAGCTGCTGCTCATTCCGTGGCCATAGAACTGCTTGGCTTGAGAGACACGTGTGGTGTCCCAGCGGATGAGCCAGAAGGTCTGTGGGGGATGTCAGTGGTATGGAAGCTGCTCAGACTCCTAGGGAGATGTTCAGTCTGCTCCCTCAGCTGGTAAGCCAGCCTGCAGCTGAGGTCCCCTGCAAGGAGCAGGTTACCCCATGCCCATCTGCTTTGTGGGAGCTCCCAGTGCCTCCTGGAATGGTGGAGACACTTCGTGCAGACCACATGGAACGCGGTGTAGCGATTCCGATTTCTGCTCTAAGGTCTACTCCTAGTTACCTGCGGACACAGGGATGATGAGTTGTGTGTGCTGCCCTGCTTGCATTTAAGGTAGCAAGGTATAAACCATGAACACATTATTTAAAGACCAACCCCTACTGGATAGCTCTTCTTTGATCCCAGACTGCCAAGATGCTCCATTGTGATTCCCCAGCTAACTACAGATCTCCCAGTCCTTATGAGAAGTTAACATGCCCAGGACCTTGTGGGGTGGGCAGTGATGGGGAGGAGGTGGGATCAGCTGCTTCCTTGTACTTGTTTGTGCTGTAGGACATTGGTAATTTCTTAGCTGTTCAGTAATTGAGTTTGATATGGGTGGGTGTTTTCCACATTTCTGGTTGAGTAAACAGGTGATCCATTCAAAGTTACAACCTTGACTGTACAGCATCAGCCATGGCTGTGGATGTCTCGGTGAGCCTGAACCTGTCAGGTCCTTCTGCTCCTGTACCTGCTGAAATGGTCTTAATCCTTGCATAGTTACTGTCCCTGAAACAGGGATCCTCATTAAAATCAGTGGGGTGGAGTTTGTTTCCCTGATTTGATCTTTCACTGAATTCTTTGTAAATTAATCCCGAAAAGCACACGCTTGGCTGAGCTGGCAAAGTGCCAGAGGCCTCGGGGTTATAAATCAGACTGAAAGGCTCTGGGAGTGCTGAGACAGGTCCTGGTGTCTGTTACACAGTCTTTGCTTCTGTTTGACTCCATCAGGAGAACCATCTCCTTTCCCAGCACAGATTGTTTTGTCAGGGATCCTGCAGAGACGCCAGAAGGAACGTTATTAAATCAGGGAGAGAACAGGTGCATTCCCTCCTGCTCCAGAGGAAAATGGATGTTGAGTGAAGTGTCAAAGTGCTGGTTCAGGAGTGAAGATACAGGATCATTTTTGGCAGGCTTAGCCCCTGCTCACCCTCTGTGCCAGTAGTTGATGCTGTCCCACAGGGCAGAGCCCTGCTGGGCAGTGCTGCTGTCTGCTCCCTGCTCCCTTCCCTCTGTGTTGGGAACACTCGTTCTGGATCGATCCCTGCCAAGCTCAGTGCCACACATTGGCACACTGGCACAGCATCAGAGCCTCTCTTGTACTTCACACTGAGACCATTTTTGCTGAAGAGGTAATGGGATGCCAGTGGGAATGCCTAAAGCTTCCCGGGCTGGTGTTCCTTTGTGTTCTGAGCTCTGCAGTGATATTGTCAGGTGCTGCTGCAGTGCTCTGGGCTGCAGAGGTGAGGGATGTACTGAGAGTGCTCTACATGTGTTTCAAAACCATCCTGCCCTTCTGAGCTTTAATTCTCTGTCCCAGCTTTTGCAGTTAATTGCCAAGTCCCAGCTGACCTCCCTGAGCGGAGCAGCACAGAAGAACTACTTCAACATCTTGGACAAGATTGTGCGGAAGGGTAAGGCCCAGGGTCTGTGATCTGCTCGCTGGGGTTTGGCTGCTGACTCTCCTGCAGCTGGTGTTGTTTTGTTGGGTTTATTACTGGTTCTGTGTGGGGAGACAAGGCAGTGGCAATACTTCAGGAGGGAAGGGTTTGGTAGCTCCCATCCCACAGCTGCAGGAAGTTGTTTTCTCCTGGTTATCAAATCACGTCTTTTGGCGCAGGTTGGTGAAATGAAGTGACTGTTAGATTCTGTTCAGACACTCTTGGTTACTATTCACTGATGCTCTTCATGAAACGTGGAAGCTTTTAGAGGAATAGCAGGTTTGTTTCTAAGCTTGCAGGACGAGCTGAGACTCACAGGAGGTAACTGGTTTGTCATTCAAAAGTGATTCCATCCTGTTGATTGATTATCCTGGCAGCCACACGAAGTGGAGCTGTAGCAGTATCCACTTTGAGCAGGAGAAATTGGATTTGTAGCTAGTTGTTTATCACCAAGTTTATGAAATGCATGGCATGAAATGTTATTTCCCTGGGAAGTTAGTGATTGATCTTGTGTGTGTGGAACAGCGTTGATGAGTGTCGTGGTGGGAGTCAGGGCAGCTCTTCCTGCACAGACCCTCGAGCTCTAATGAGTTCAGCTGAAAAAAGGGTGATCAGTCCCAGCTCTTACCTCGGTTAACTCATTAACCACAACTCTTTGGTTTGGTTTGTTTTCCAGTCATGGAAGACCAATATAACCCACGACTAATCAAAGATCTCCTGCAGGATCTGAGTTCCACTCTCTGTATACTGATCAGGGGAGTAGGAAAATCTGTGCTGGTAGGGAACATCAATATTTGGATTTGTCGACTGGAAACGATCCTTCTGTGGCAGCAACAGCTGAAAAACCTCCAGATGAACAAGGTATGCTCTTAGACCATGTTAAACAGTGCTTGGGTGAGGGGAGTGGTAGCAGAATCTGGCTGTGATAGTAAGTGAGCCAAGTTTCAGATGCACTTCAAACAGCTCCACTTGTTTGCTTTGTTTTTCAAGAAGCAATGTGAGATTAATGCAACGGAATCAATTTTCTGGTGTTCTAATTGCTGTTTGCTAACGAGGGCTGCTGCAGTATCTGTGCTGCTGGACTGAGGGAGAGATGTGTGGATAGAATTGCTCTGCTCAGCCATATAAGTTTCAAAACTTTTGTCTCTAGATTGACAGAGATGGGAAAAACCCACCAATTTTTAATTCCAAAGTAGATTCTCTACAAATGAAGAAATAAACATCTAAAAGGCATTTTAGAGGTGTATCAAGGAAACAGAAAGGAAATACTCAAGTAGCAATTTTACAGCTTTGCTCATTAGCACAGTTGGGCTTTGTAGAAAAGGATAATGATAATAATCCAACAGCATCTGGATTCTGGTCATGAGGCTTTGTCCAAGGCATGTGGCAGGCACTGCTCCCACGTTTTAGGGTGGAAACCTCTGAGGGTGAGCAGCAAGTGTTCCTTGGGTTCCTCCTGGAGGAAGAAACGCTGCAAGGTACTGCTCACATAAAGCCACACAAGCATTTCCCCTGTCAGCCTTCAGCCAGGAGACCTTGGAATGGTCTGTGCTGTGTGGCTGAATAAACCAGGGGCTTGGGGAGTAGGAAGGAGACGTGGGAACCTGGGCCTGGCAGTGTGAGAGCATCAGGTGGAGCATGGCGAGCGCTGGGGCACTGCGGAGGAACTGCCTGCAGCCCTGGGCCCTGTGCCCTGGCACTGGGGCTCCACAGTCAGTGCTGCCTGCAGCCCTGGGCCCTGTGCCCTGGCACTGGGGCTCCACAGTCAGTGCTGCCTGCAGCCCTGGGCCCTGTGCCCTGGCACTGGGGCTCCACAGTCAGTGCTGCCTGCAGCCCCGGGCCCTGTTGGCACTGGGGCTCCACAGTCAGTGCTGCCTGCAGCCCTGGGCCCTGTGCCCTGGCACTGGGGCTCCACAGTCAGTGCTGCCTGCAGCCCTGGGCCCTGTGCCCTGGCACTGGGGCTCCACAGTCAGTGCTGCCTGCAGCCCTGGGCCCTGTGCCCTGGCACTGGGGCTCCACAGTCAGTGCTGCCTGCAGCCCTGGGCCCTGTGCCTTGCACTGGGGGCTCCACAGTCAGTGCTGCCTGCAGCCCTGGGCTCTGTGCCCTGGCACTGGGGGCTCCACAGTCAGTGCTGGGGGTTGTCCCACTGAAGTTCAGCAGAGCTCTGGGTGAAACACAGTCCTCATGAAAACTCCTCGGTGCTCAGACCTGCCATCCCTGCAGAATTCCTCCTTTACTGTCTCCACACTTCAGGAATTGCTCTGCTCTCTTCTGCCTCTGACTTGTGTGATGCTCTTGCTCTGTATTTCTGATCTCCAGTCCTGTGTTCTGTCCTTGCTCTACTTGCCTTATGTGCTCTCTGTTTCCTAATAACAGCTGGGAAACTAGTGATACTACAAGTGAGAAATAACTGGTTCACACCTTTATCCTAGCCAGGGCTTTGGCACTCTGATTTCAGAGGTGGAACTGAACATAATGTATTGGTGGTTTTCAAGACTGTATACTATTATTTTGTAAGAAGTGTTCTAAAGTGATTTGAGATTTAAATAACTTAGGATATGTTTGTTTTAACAGTAGGAAAGCTATAAGTTATAAAACTGCAGCCTGTAGCTCCTTCTGTACCTGCAGGCATTGAAGCTTTCAGCCACAGCAGTTAGACAATAATGGTAGCCAGGAATTAACCATAGGTGTTAGTGCTTTTGAGTAAACTGAACTGAGACCTGAGGTACCTCTGAAGTCAGAATCTTGTTTGTACCTTCTACTGCCAAGTTTTTGTGGTGTAAAGTCTTCAACTCTTCTTTCCAGCAAGTCAACACTGGTCTGACACTTAGTGACCTCCCTCTGCACATGCTGAACAACATCCTGTACAGGTTCTCTGATGGCTGGGACATTGTCACTCTGGGCCAGGTGACCCCAACCCTCTACATGCTCAGCGAGGACAGACAGTTGTGGAAAAAGCTGTGCCAGTACCATTTTGCAGAAAAGCAGGTGATGCACTGTGATTTGTCCCTTTGTCTTTGTGATGTGGTGTGCCAGCAGTGAAGTGTGAGATCCAAGTGTGGCACAGTGTTCTCCTGGGGGGCTTGGCTCCTGCTGCATACTGTGCTCAGCATGTCTGAGTTCAGGGTGACTGCTGGGCTGTGTCCTGGCATTCTGGTACACCATGTCTGTTGCAAGGTGGTTTTTTGCAAGCTGCACAACCCCCAAAAGTGCACAGAGGACACCTCTAGGGGCTGTTAGTACCCACAGCAGAGCTTGTTCTACTAACCAGGTAGGCAGGCAAGTTGCTTGAACCCTTAGGCTGCTTTAACAGTGTGGTGAAGCCAAAATGGGGTTTTGCACAAAAGCCTAGAACAAGTGCTTGAAGTTTTGAAATTAACAAGAAATGGTACCTTAGTGCTCTTTGTGAGGAGGTGACAGAAAGGTAATCTAGCAGTGACTCCAGAGTAAATGCTGTGACAAAAACCAGGTGAAAATAAGGCCATGAAAGCAGGAGTTAGCTCCTCAGAGCTGGAGGAAGAACTCTCAGAACCTAGTGCATCCCAGGCTGGAGGCAGCACACGTGCCCTTCAGTCTGACAGGCTGGAGTGGCACGCGTGGCTGGTGCCTGCCACGTTAGGCAGTGCTGGAGTGGAGAAGGCAGAAGTGAAGATCAGTACTTAGCTCATGTGCAGTTGACCCAAAGGAGCATTTTTTTGTGAGATAAGAGGCTTTAGAGTGAATTCCAGGAAGAAAATAGACCAAAGCAAGCTGAAAACCCTCCTTCAGGAGCAGCTCAGAATGCAGGGCGAGGCTGCAAGGAGGAGGAATTTCAGCTGATGTGGCAGTTGAGTGGGGTCTGAGGGTGGGTGAGGTAAGCTCCACTGAACAGTGCCAGACCTGGCTGGAGAGGCTGTTAGCAGTGCTGGGAAAGAGATCCTGGAAGGATTGCAGTGGCCTGTGCCCCAGGAAGGACACCTGAACACCGTGCTGCCACTCCACATTCCATTTCTTTCCAAGTGATTAGTGACAGAAATCTAATGATTGATTTTCCTGTATCAATTTCTGCTGCTTCTGTTTAAGAGTGACTTGCCCCAATAAGCTGCAGAATCAGGGTAGGCTGTTTTTTCTGTCCCCTGCAGTGCATTTGTTGAACCATTGAGACAACCTTGAGAACACACTTGGTGTCTGAAGAGCTGTTTTGGACAGAAGGAGAGCTCCACACAGGGAAGTGCAGTCCGAGGGGCAGTGTGTGCCCCACCAGGAGCTGCTCTGGCTGAAGCAAGGCCCAGTATGTTAGCATTAACCACACTGAGTGGAGCAGAAACCTTTTGCAAACACACACCTAGTAAACCTTGGCTGTGTATTGAGCTGGGGAGAAGTAGCTGCTGTGCATCAGCTAACCTTGAGGTGCACATTAGGTCCTCAAGAAGTGCACCAGGCACTGGTTATTGCTGTCCTGGAAAGATCACAAGCCAGTGTGAAAAATAGTCATGTATGTGCTGTTAAAATTAAAGAAAAAGCAGTATTTGAATCCCTAGTTAATGTCTAAACAGAAAACCTCTCTCTGTAGTGCACAATCATGTTTTTAAATCTCATTCCTGAGTGGTTGTTATTAAAGAAGTGTAAAATTAATTACTTGCAGCTCTAAATACTGTTTTTGTTAAATGGTTCTTGACTATGATTAGAATCATTTCAAGACAGTAGTTAGATCAGCTGTGTATGGCCTACTTTTTCTTGGCAATATGCACCCTCCTATTTTTAGTCTTTTTCAGTCCATTTTTTGGCCAGGCTTCCCTCACAGCCTTGCAGAGGTGCCTGATGTCAGAAAACTGACTTCAGAGAGTTCCAGCTACAGAACTGCAGTTTAACTACCTTCCCCTCCTTCTCCTGTCCTTTACCTGGTTTGACTGCACCGGTTTTAAAGACAGTTATTAATTTTATGTGCAGTTCTGCAGGCATCTGATTCCCTCCGAGAAAGGTCACATTGACTGGAAGCTGATGTACTTTGCACTGCAGAAATACTACCCCATCAAGGAGCAGTACGGGGACACCCTGCACTTCTGTCGGCACTGTAGCATCCTCTTCTGGAAGGTAAGAGCCTCAAACAGACACGGAAGCTCAAACAGCTGCTGATGGCCATGTGAAAGGAAAGATATGCAGGTCATCCTCTTAGCTTTCTCTTGTGAAATGCGATTGATAACTAATATCTAACTTTAAAAGTGTGAAACTTCCATGTAAAATCAGTGTCGAATGCTAAAGTTGTTCTTTACCTTCCATTCTATCTCTTGATATCTTAACCCTGATACTCAGAACTGCAGTGGGAAGTGCCATGTGGAAAGAGCTGCACTCTGTGCCTGTTCCTCTCCCGCAGAGTTGTCAGGGCTGGCATGGAGCTGGTGTTCTGCAGCAGGGCAGGCAGTGCTCAGGGAGGGCTCCCTGGGCAGAGTCTGTGCTGTCAGTCTGGCTCTGTCCCCCGGGGGCCCTGGAGGAGCGTTTGAAGCCTCATTCAGAACATGTTTGATGCTGATTTTGGTGTTCAGTGTGGAGCACACGCTGTCCCAGAGGGTGGGGTTCCTTTGGGTAGGGCACTAACACACGTGAGCACTCAGTCCTGCTGTGGCTCTGGGCTGCACCATATGGTGAGAGCTCTTCAGTCCTGCAGCTGAACAGATCCACGTAGTGTTAAGTGGACAGCAAGAACCTTTGGAGAAACCTTAGCAAATACTCTCTTACATTCTAACTGAGGAAAGGAGTTGCTCTTATGTCATCTTTCTGTGATCTTTAGGGGAGTTGTGTCAATGTGAGGCTTTTCTGTTCCCCTGGGAGAGCCTGGGCTGTTTGACAGGCTGAGCTGGCTCTCCCAGAAACAGCCTGCAGTTACTGCTGCTGTGCCAAAGCTGAGTGTTGCCATGGGAGCCCTGCCAGGACTGATGTTCTGCTGGATGAATGGGGGGAAGGAGGTAGCTGGGATTGGCTTCAGCTGGGAACAGCTTGGGCATTTGCATGAGTGATAAGCTTCACACTTGGTTTTAGCCTTCTTGGGACTTGTGCTGGTTTTGGTGCTCACAAACCTGTTTGTGATTTGCCACAAGAATAAAAGACTCTTTCTAAATGGCATATGAACCTTAGCTTCAATAGACCTTAACTCTGCTTCTTTTACTTTATGGCTCTCCTTCCTGCTTCTCCTTCACGATCTCAAGGACTACCACCTTGCTTTGCTGCTCCAGGTACTTGTGTGTGTCTCCCTGTTCCCACTGCTGACTGTGCTGTCATGTCCCAGTGAACGTGTTGGTTTCTGTCTGATACTCTGGATTTCTGTTTCCCCACGTCAGTTTAGCAGCAGGATGTTTCGTGTTCCGTTCCGCAAATGATGACTTCCCATCTCGGTTCTCCGTCAGTTTTGTCTGTCATTACTGCTGTATTCCCTGTCAGTGCCGTTTAAGCCAAGCACCACAGTTCAGTTTCTGATGAGCACAGGGCCGTGGTGTCAGTGAGCTCAGCCAGATCTTGCCAAGAAATGGGTTTCTCTGCACTCCCTGGTGGGTTTCACTCAGCACTGAGAGGCAAATGATGACTTCCCATCTCGGTTCTCCGTCAGTTTTGTCTGTCATTACTGCTGTATTCCCTGTCAGTGCCGTTTAAGCCAAGCACCACAGTTCAGTTTCTGATGAGCACAGGGCCGTGGTGTCAGTGAGCTCAGCCAGATCTTGCCAAGAAATGGGTTTCTCTGCACTCCCTGGTGGGTTTCACTCAGCACTGAGAGCTGAAGAGTAACACGTTCCTCAGGTAACTCGGGTGCTGGAGTTCTGTAGCTTTATGAAGTCTCTGAACACACGTTCCCCAGACAGGCTGTGTGACCTGGCAGTGCTGGGGGAGGCAATTCTGAACGCGACGTGGTGAAAACACTCGCACAGAGCTTCGTCTTGTCCAGCCAGATACAGTCTGAGGGAAAAACTACACCGCCAGTAAACATTCCTTCTGGTGAATTGTAGTCTTAATCTAAAAGAATTCTGGTTTAACTTTGATACACTGAAAATCAATCTGATTTGATCACTATTTAGTGTAATTCCAATGAAATAAGTTTCACTTGGAAGGAGGAACACTCACAGGCAAGTTATGATTCTTCCTTTCAGTCCTCATCACTTCTTTCATGGTAAAATTTCTGTTTCTGTTGTTCTCAGCAATTAAAACCACCAAGAACTGATCTCTGAGGGGTTTTATTGGACCTGTAATTCCTGCCTGGCAGAGTTTTCCAAAGTGCTTTTACAATGATGTGCAGAGAAAGCAGCAGCGTGTTACGAGTTCTGTCCACAACATTCAGGGGTACAAATAAGCACTAAGGGAGGACAGACCAGAATTGCAGTGCTGATGGTGTTCCCTGGAAACCAGGGAAGCAGTGGCATGACACTGGCATGGCAATGGGCAGAGAAGGTGACAGTGCACTAGCAACTGCAGCCAAGTCCTCCAGTGTGAGGTAGCTCCTCCTCGCAGATGTCGCCTCAAGATGAAGGTGTTAGGTTAAACACTTTGGTCTTGGTCTCCTGTCCTTTCCCACCTGCAGCCTCCCCCAGTAGTTCTCCCTGGGCCCCTTTGTCTGGTTTTGCCTCTGTGTCGTGAGCCTCACAGCTGGGCCCCAGGTGATGCCAGAGCAGTGACTTCAACCCGTGGGAGGGTGAGGAGGTGACACCACGTGGTGTCTTGGTGTACTCCAGACTGAATGGGCACACAGGGAATTTATCTGTGGAGTGACATTTTTCACTGGAAAGCTGAGCAGTATTTGCAGTGTGCCTCACCCAGTGCACTCTGCTGCTGCAAAGGCTTTGGGTAGGAATGTGGCACCTTTGGCAGGACTTCTCTTTCTCAAGTTTCCAAGTGAGAAAAGAAATGGCAGCGAATTTCTTTTGTGGACTGAATTGCAAGTGACTTCCCTTCCTCTGGAGACAAAAGCGATGGAGACCACAGTGGTCTGTGATCTACTTGCTGTGTATTCATCTAGTTTTGGTGCCTCATGTGATGAGTTCATCAGCAGTGGTGGAAAAGAACAACCCCTGAAAACCTGGGGAGGACATTTCCTGAGCCTTACAGCAACACTGGCAATGGTGTTTGACCTCCCCATAGAACTGTCTGGGCCCTTCTCATCCCACCCTGTGTGTCCTTCCTTCAGGGGCTTCTAATGAGGTGCAAACCTGAACTGTTCATTGGAAGAGGAACTTGAACCATAAACTATCAGCCAGTTCTGCTGAGGTCAAGTTTCTGTGACATGACAGAAAGCCCTCCAGGCTTAAGGAATTTGTAGTGGCAAACCTCTCCATCCCATCCTGCTTTTCCTGGGTGCAGCTCCTGCTGTAGGGCAGTGCTCCGGGGGGAATGGGCAGGATCCAAAGGGGAGGGGAGGATGCTGTGGGAGAGGAGCAAAGCTGTAAGGCTGCTCAGGTGTCCTGAGGAAGTGTCTGCTGCTCTTTACTCTCAGGGCTCATTCTCCCCCTAGAGCTGACTTCAGCTTCTCATTGAGCAGATAACTTAATTTAGGTTCATCAAAGCACTTGCCTTTTCATCACACTTACCAAAAACTCATGGATGAGGAAGGTGACACTTTTTTTCAAGAGCTCCAACTCAGGTTCTGGTTTTGGTAGGGGGAGAGAGTTTTCCCCCTTTTTATTCTGCACTGAGGACTGTGAGCATGGAAAGAACTTACTGTTTTCCTCTCTTCTGCAGGACACAGGACACCCCTGCACAGCCAGTGACCCGAACACCTGCCTCATGCCAGTGTCTCCTCAGCACTTCATTGACCTCTTCAAGTTCTGAGGCACAGAGTAGCTGTTCTCCCGTGCTCGTGGCCGTTGTTGTGAAGAGTCAGGCAGGACATGTGATGCTTTTGTGCAATATATTTAAGTGTAATGTTTTGCTGTAGCTTAAACAAACGTGGGAGAGATTGTCGGACCGTGTATCTGGTGTGCTGCTTTGTGCAGGGAAGGCAGGAGGAGGGGAGACACGTTCAGGACATTTCTGTGTCAGGAGACCTGCAGTGGACTCTTCCCAAGTCCCAGGAGGACCATGGCAGTCCCAGCTCCAAGGCCGTTGCTTGTGGCGCTTGGTCAGAGTTATCTGGGGATGTCTGGAATGTTCTGTGGAGGAATTCAGCTCCTCCCACAGGGACAAGGGAGGGGTGTGCTGTTCATCCTCCTCTCCCACCCGCTGCTCTCAGAGCACCTCCATGTGAGACCATGTGAGCCTCTCCCAGGCTCTCCCTGCGAGCGCGGTGAGCTGGTGAGTGTCTGGCTGGTCCCAGCTGCTGTCCAACCCGTGGGTGAAGGAAGAGAACCAACCTTTGTACAGACGTCACGCAGAAGTATTTATTTTTCTGAAGGACTTTATGAACACATAACCTGTCTCAGCACATCCTGCAGAGCTCACGGGGCCCAGCTGGGGCCACTGGGAAGCTGATTTTTCTGATGGGAGCTGCAGCCTTCATTTATACTGTTTGGTATGTCTCAAATGCAACTGCATTAATTCATCTTCTAAGAAGAAGACATTACTGACACTTAATGAGGATGGAGTTCCTGGACTGGCACAGTCACTGTGCTGCCAACTGGGGCTCTAACCTCTCCTCAAGCTGTGGGGAACACTGCAAGACAGCCTGAGCTCAAGCACCTTCTGCCAAGTTAATCAGATGATAAATTCTCCAGGGAGCTATTTCCCTTCCATTCTGTAGGACAAAATGAATTGCTTGGCTTAGGCTGGTAAAGGAGAAATTAGGGAAGTTTTGGGTTTGTCAGTGAAATTTAACAGTATGTAATGTACAGAAAAATAAATCATGTACTATATTCTGCACTGCCTTGTTCTGAATCTAGTTTTGTACAGTGTAATAAATCATGATTTTATCTGTGACTCCTGGAAGTCTCCTGTGCATAGAGATGAGTCAGTTCTGTGAGCTCTCTGCTCCCTGTGTGTGCAGCGTGGGCAGAGAGGCTCAGGAGCACCCGAGAGCTGCTGCTCTCAGGGCTGCACCAGTGATGTTCCTGTTCAGGCTGCTAACAGCTGTGTCTCCCCCCAGGTGTGAGCCCTGGGGAAGGGCCAGGCTGGGGCCGAGGACACCA